GGAAGGAAGGAAGGAAGGAAGGAAGGAAGGAAGGAAGGAAGGAAGGAGGGAGAGAAGGAAGGGAGGAAGGGAAGAAGGGAGGAAGGGAAGGAGGGAGGAAGGGAGGGAGGGAGGAAAGAAGGAAAAAAGAAAGGAAGAAAGGAAGGTTGATAATGGTTTAAAGCAGACAAAAAATCAGTATTGTCTTCAGTGCTACCAATGCAGGAATTCTCTAAATTATAAGATTTTGCAGTGAAATTATCTTTCACTCCCCAAAGCCCAAGGTAGACACTTTTCTTTATTTCAGAACTGACATCTTTTTGTCATGACCATCTGTTAAAACATCACCTGGTTCATTGACTTTTGGTAAATCTATATGCTTATCAGCTCCCATGTTTTTCAATATCTCCCCAGTCTTTCCAGGGACTAAAGTACACCCCTAACCAATTGAGCTTTGCCCTTTTCTTTTGAAAATCTTGGCCATGACTATCTAGATTCTCCTTTCTATAAACAAGATAAATAAGATAAATCTTTCTTCTTTTTACGATTGTAGTCATTTGGATCAAAATACTGAAAAGGTCAGTTTCATTTATAGGTTTAAAATATGCTTCCTCCAAGACAAGTGGATTGGATTTTTCAAAATTTACATAAATATCTTTTTCAGAATTTTATCTGTGATCAACATAAAGTTCAATAGAGAGAGACCCTTTAATTATGTCACTTTGCAGGTGTGGGGTGCATTGTGAATAGAGGGTAGAGGCAAAGTGAGTTAATAGATACGTGGGCATTTCCCAGCTGCCAGGAAGCTCAGGCTTTGGGCACTTCTTCTTCATCTGGTCAGGCCTCTCCTTTCTTGCCCCTTGGTTGGCAACAGGGAACTTGACCTAGGTCCTCATTTTCAACATCCATGTTGATGTTTACTCAATCATTCAATCAATAAACATTTATTAATTATGTGCTGGGTGTCATGCTAAGCATTGAGAATACAAAGAAAGGCAAAAGACAATTGCTGCTCTCAAAGACCTCACAGTCCAGTAGGAGAGACAACATGCAAACAATTATATACAAACAAGCTAAATACAAGCTAAATTGGAAATAATCAACAGAGAGAAGACTCTAGAATTAAGGGGGATTGGAAAAGGCTTCCTGTTCAAAGTGGGATTTTTATTTTTTTTTATTTATTTTTTTTTAGGCAATTGGGGTGAAGTGACTTGCCCAGGGTCACACAGCTAATAAGTGTCAAGTGTTTGGTCTGAGGCCGGATTTGAACTCAGGTCCTCCTGACTTCAGGGCCGGTGCTCTATCCACTGCACCACCTAGCTGACCCCAAGGTGGAATTTTTAGCTGGGACTTAAAGGAATGTGGGGAAGCCAGGAGGTAGATATGAGGAGAAAGAACATCCCAGGCACAGGAGAAAACCAGCACCCAGGCCCCCCAATTTATCAAACTCTTCAACTCCCATGATGTTCACCCTCACTCTACCTTAGCTACACATAGAAATGTTCATACCCTTGACCTCAACATCATGCATGCTCAGCCTCCATGACCCAGAACCTCATAATTCCCCTTTCAGAAAATAACCTTTAAGAAGCCTTTGGTGAAAAATGGGTGGTAAAGCTTTCATTCTCCTTTCCCTTTTCCCCAGCTTCCCAGAACCCAGGCTGACCCTATGAAATTTGGCAGACCCTTGGGTTGTCTTTCTTCGCCAACCTTCCTACCAACACCATTACAACCCAGCTTTCAAGCCTGGATCATTTGCGTAAGATTCTCCTGGTTGGTAAAGAGGATGATGACCCAATGTTGTAGCTTTCATGAGAAGCATGAGGAGCTGGCTAAGCTCTAGGCAGTTATCAGGAAGACCTGACTGAATGCAACTCCTGCCTTAGGCACTTACTAGCTGTGCAACCCTGGGCAAGTCACTTAATATGAACCATATCAATAACAAAAACAGCAAAAATCACATGATTATCTCCATACATGCAGAAAAAGCCTTTGTCAAAATGTAACATTCATTCTTATTAAAAACATTAGAAAGCATAGGAATAAATGGAGCTTTCCTTAAAATGATAAGTAGTATCTATCTAAAATCATCTGCAAACATCTGTAATGAGGATAAGCTAGAAGCCTTTTCAGTAAGATCAGGGGTGAAACAAGGACGCCCATTATTAACACTATTATTCAATATTGTACTGGAAATGTTAGCTATAGCAATGAGATAAGAAAAATAAATTGAAGGAATTAGAATAAGCAATGAAGAAACAATACTATTGCTCTTTGCAGAAGATATTATGGTATGCTTAGAGAACCCTAAAGAAAGAACTAAAAAGCTAATTGAAAGAACTAACAACTTTAGTAAAGTTCCAGGATATAAAATACACCCACATAAATCATCAGCATTTCTGTATATTACCAACAAAGTCCAACAGGAAGAGACAGAAAGAGAAATTTCATTTAAAATAATTACAGGCAATATGAAATATGTGGGAGTCTATCTGCCAAGACATGCCTAAGAACATATGAACACAATTACAAAACACTTTTCACCCTCATAAAGACAGATCTAAACAACTGGAGAAATATTCATTGTAGATCAAGCCAATACAATAAAAATGACAATTCTACCTAAATTAAACTATCAAAAATATTTTCTAGAGCTAGAAAAAAATCATAAAATTCATCTGGAAGAACAAAAGGTCAAGAATATCAAGGAAATTAATGAAAAAAATGTGAAGGAAGGTAGCCAAGCAGTACCAGATCTCAAACTGGATTACAAAGCAGTAATCATTAAAACAATCTGGTACTGGCTAAGAAATGGTGGGTCAGTGGAATAGATTAGGTACACAGTACACAGTAGTAAATGACTGTGGTAATTTAGTGTTTGATAAACCCAAAGATCTAAGATTTTGGGACAAGAACTCCCTATTTGACAAGAACTGCTGGGAAAACTAGAAAACAGTTTGGCAGAAACTAGGCATAGATCAATATCTCACACCACATAACAAGCTTAGGTCAAAATGGGTACATGATTTTGACATAAAGTATAATGCCATAAGCAAATTAGAGGAACATGGAAAATTTTGCCTGTCAGATCTATGGATATAGGAAGGATTTATGACCAAACGACTAAACCAGCAACAGCACAAGCAAACCTAAAACAAAGACTCTCTTAGAATTGGAGCCTGGGACTTTGCAACCACTCCATACAGATAGCCCTCCTGGCCCAGGAAAATAGAAAAGCTATTTAAGCATTGCCAGTCAGAATATAATGCACTTCCCTTGACACACAATATCAATGCCTTCAAAACCACAATTAAAAAACAATTTCCAAAGCTTATTTAAAAAATCAAAAAGCAATTTCTTGCAAAGTAAGGTACCAGAAATTATCATTATACTCTTGCAGACAGGTTCCTACATGGAAGGTGTGTGTTACTCATGTAGGTTATGTATCTCTAAATGAAGGGTCACAATGTTGAGGTCTCCAAGGGAATAACCCTGGGATCTGTGCTTGGCCCTGTGCTGTTTATCTTAGAAAAAAAGTACAGACGGATATGTTCATCAAATCTTCATACAATACAAGCTGGGAAGGATAGTTCACAGATGGGATGATAGAATCAGAATCCAAGAGGATTTCAAAAGGCTAGAACATAGAGCTGAATCTAACTAGATGAAATTCAATAGGGATAAATGTAAGGTCTTGTACTTAAGTACAAAAAAATCAATTTCATGAGTACAAGAAGGCATGGTTAGAAAGCAAGTTTTGGGAAGATCTGGGGGATCTCAGTGGAAAGCTCTTAGTAGATTCCAACCTTAATATTGGGGCCAACTAGGTGACACAGTGGATAGAGCACTGGGCCTAGGGTCAGGAAAACCTGAGTTCAAATCCAGCCTCAGCCACTTACTAGCTGTGTGATTTTTAGGCAAGTCAATTAACCTGTTGGCCCCTCAGTTTCCTCATCTGTAAAATGATCTGGAGAAGGAAATGAC